ATCTCGCCCTCCGCGGAAATCCGTCTGTGTTTCCCCGCGGAGCTGCTGGGTCAATTCCTCACGGCCTCTGTACCTGCAGGAGGACGAGCGGGACTGCTCGGGGGGTCTTACCGCCCGAGGGGAGATGAGAGGGGTCGTAAAACCCCCGGAGCGGTTGAGGATTTGGCCACTGGCAGGACGCAAAGAGATCGGCGCTCGTCTTAACCCAGCTCTGCACTTAACCTCGAAACCTCTCCCTGCTGCCGGGAGAGGAAGCGGTTGGGGCTGTCTGGGCACGTCGGGCTCCGCGGTGGCTGCGCCGAGCCTGGGGAAGGGTCAGAGGCCCGGCAGCCCTCTGACAGCCAAGCGGGAGGGCTCGGGGCTGGCTGCCGGTGTTGCGGGGTTCGTTACGCGTGGGGTTCGTTACGTGCGGGGCTCAGCAGCCAGAGGCTCACCCTTGGGCTCCCCAGGCTCGTCCTAAGCCTGTGAATTTGGGCTTGAGGCTCCTTGTGCTTTCAAACTGGGTGAAGATGTCCCTGCTGATAGGCAGCATTCCCTCCCTGGGGATTTTTCGGCTGTCCCCCTCGTTCCTGTCTAGCCACATGCTGGTGGGGGGACCTGGGATCCCACCAGCCTGAACAGTCAATCCCAGCCGCTTTCCTCCATGGGTCCTGAAGCCGCAGCCTTCTTCGGGCTCCTCTCCTCTCCTGCCAGGAGGAAGGACACACAGGCACTTTGATCACTGGGGAGAGGTTTCTCTGAGCGCTGTAACTTTGCACCTTTCCCCTCTGCTGCAACGGGGCATGCTGCAGCACCCGAGGCGTGAGCCACAGAGATGGCCCAGCCAGACCTACAAGCCCTCCCAGTTGCTCTGGTGCAGCTGAACCAGTTTATTCTTCAGCCTAGGGCTGGCATTCGTTACCTCAGAGAGCTTTACAGCATTATTTCTTCTTTCCCCGTTCACGGCAGGTCCAGGCAGATGGGACAGACGGAAACTGCGTCACGTTCGTGTTGCACGATGAGGACCACACACTCGGCAACTCCCTCCGATACATGGTCATGAAGAAGTAAGTGGGGCCTCTGCGGTGCCTGGCATGGCTGAGGGTACCTCTGTCTCCTGTTCTGGCCTTCTCCTTACTGTCCTCCATCTCACTTGCTGCTGGAACAAGGCAAATGATCGGAAGCTACCTCTGCACGTACCTTGTAGGGTCTTTATGCCAGACATGGTGTCAGAAACTCCTTACCTACCACCGCTTTTGACTTGTGTGTGTCAGGACTCTGAGGGCACTAACAGGCCTTAACGGGCTCAACCAGCCACACCCGAGGCCTCCACCCACACCCTGTCCATGGGCCCAGGACCCCATTTAAGCTCAGCTCAGGGCTTTCAGTCTCTCCTGAGCCTTGTTGTAGGAGTATGGGTCTCCAGCTCAGCCCCTGTGGGGCTGTGGACTCCGTTCATCTGGATGCTGACCCACAGACTGACTTGCTGACCCAACCTCAGCCCTTCCTCCTCAATGTACGCCTGCCTGGTGATCACTGGGTAGTGTCTGACCCTCATTACCCTCCCCTGACCTGACCCTGACTTGCAGATTGACCTCCTGGCCTGACCTCGGACCTGCTTTGTCCCCACAAACCTGCCTGATGATCTGGACCCTTGGCTGACCCTGGCTACCGCCTTTGTACCCACCCTACTCCCTCGCTTGGGTGCTGTGGGACAGGGCTACCCAGCGAGGTCCGTAGTGTTCGTGGCTCCCAGCTCCCCATCCCTTAGGGAGCAGCCAGCCCTCACCGCTCCTTGGGGGTTAGTTATGGAGGAAATTTAATGCATGCCATGTGGAAGACTTCTAAAAGTCTTATTTGGCCCTGGGTGAAATGATGTGCATCTCCACGTAAGTACCCGTGGCCAGGCAGAGTCTGTGTCTCCTTCTGGGACAGGCGCTGCCAGAAAAGACGGTAGGAACAGCCAGTGTTAAGCAAACTGATCGTCTTTCATGCTTGCATGGAGATGCAGGGATTGATACTGGGAATTAATTGTCCTGCCCCCATCAAAATATACCAATAGGCTCACCCTGGTTGCCCGATTTGATGGAACTGGGCAGCACTGAGGGTTTGTGAAGACCTGCTGGTAAGCCTGGGAGGAAGGGCAGCAGGAAGTTCAATGCCTCGCCTCAAACGACAGTTGCTTTGCAAAAATAATGTGAATTCCTCTGAGAAATCACCGTGACATGAGAGAACGCAGGCTGCTTGCGAGGGGCCGTTCTTCCTGCTGGGCGCACACAGGTTCGACCAACCGCTGCTGCTCAGAAAGGCAGATGCCGTGCTGCCTGCAAACCGTCTCGGTGAATCGTTGCAATGCCCCGGACACGCTGCCCAGCAGAGCTGCAGCAGGTTTGTGTAGGGTGAGGTTTCCGAGCGTCCGGCATCCCCTGCCTGAGCTCGGCAGGCCTGCCAGCGGGCTGCTGGTGGTGCCAGCGTGGTGCCTGCAATCGTGCCAGCCGTGTCCTGCCCCTGCAAAGCTCCAGCTGCAGCTCGGAGACAGATGGGGGGCTGTGAGTGAGGTCACACAGGTAGTTTCCCTTCACCAGATCCCTCCTGTAAGACCCCGAGTCATTTTAGAAACATCCTGAGCCCCAGCAGGTCTGGGGTGGCCTGAGCCTCGGCTTCCCGGAGATTTGCTGTGGGTCGGCCTGGCGTTCACGGCTCTCTTCTCCTCTCTCCCCTCCTGCAGCCCTGATGTGGAGTTCTGTGGATACTGCATCACGCACCCCTCTGAAAGCAAGATCAACTTCCGCATCCAGACCAGAGGTACGGCCGTGCGAGTTTCCTTTGTGTCCAGAAAGGGCCAGCGGAGCCCGAGGAGCCCGCAGCCTTGCCTGGTCCCGGGTGTCCGGGTGGGCTGGCAGCAGGCGCCGAGCTGCGGTGCCGGGGGGGAGTAGATCTGCTCCTCGCTGCCGCAGGAGATGGGTGTTCCGTCTGCCGCTAAACCAGCACGGGGATTGGAAAGTAAAGCCGAAGTGTGCTGAGGTGTGTAGCTGCAGTGAGGGAATTTGTTTCTGCTTCTCAGCTGTCTTGCAGCCATGGTCGTCTACAGCCTGCTGTAGGTGACCCTGCTTCGGCAGGAGGGTTGGACTAGATGACCCACAGAGGTCCCTTCCAACCCCTACTATTCTGTGATTCTGTCAGGCTATGACCCAAAGCTCTTTTGAAAAGCCTGGCCAGCCTGTGCTGTCTTTTGACTCGCCTCCCAAAGAGGACTTTGGGAGGTGATGATAGACAGCGCTGACAGCTCTGAGCCTCGTGCAGCCACGCTCCCCTCCCAGCACACCAAGCCCTCCAGCTCAGTCCCATCCACGCCCTGCGAGCTCCACAGCTCTGCCTGCTGCCTGGAGGGACAGCAGTACTTCATTCCTTCCTCACGGGGCTGTTCCCATGAGTGCTTGACTTTAATTTCCTAAAAATAATTAGTGCTTAGGCTGTTCTTGCCAAGGGAACCCCTTCCCCATGAGACTAACCGCCGGGTAAGTGTCTGCTCTTCCTGTGCCACAGCCTGCACCACCGCACTGAGCTCAGCTCTGAGGCTGCTGCTGGTGGGCCGGGAGGGGGGAAGCGGTGGGCACGTACCTGCTGTGAGAGCCTCTGCCCATCACGGGGACTGCCCTTGGGCACGGTGCTAACAACCGCGCTGCCCCGGAGCAGTGAGGGAGAGGGCTACCAGCCCCTTTGGAAGCCACCTTCCGTTTCACTAACGCAGCTTCCTTCCTGCCTGAAGGGGCCCTTCCTGCTGTGGAGCCGTTCCGGAAAGGGCTGACCGACCTGATGGGTGTTTGCCAACATGTGCTCAACACCTTTGAGGTGAGACTCTTCCTGAAGAGCTCGGGGCCTTGTCAATCTCTTGCTCTCAGAGGGGAGAGGAATGGGCTGAGACCTGTGTTGTAGGCGCTTTTGACATGAGAAACCTGATGGTTTTTTCAGGCATTCTCTGCCTGACCTGCGGCGTGGCCTGGCTTCCTTTCCCTTGGAGGGCCTGTAAAGCGCAGTCACTGCTGAAGGTATCTGGAGCTCTGTCAGAGCTTCTCGGGTCCCTCAGCGTTTCCAGGCACTGGGCAGAGAAGTCACAGCACAGACCAGGGTGGTGGCACGTGAGCCTCTCGAATATCCACTGTTAACATTCGTCCTTTGCTCTTGTTTGCAGAGGAGCATGAAGGAGTACAGAGCCCAGAGGGAGGAGGAGATGCAGTAGCACCGGGGGGTGACAGTCCCTGTGGGGTGTCTAACGTCTCTGTGTTGAATTCCCTGTGTCAAGCATTTTTGTTGTGTTGTTTTTTTTGTGACCGCTTTGATGCAAACCTGTATTTTCTCTAATAATAAAGTTTATGAAGTTTGATGCTGCAAAGGTGACGCTGCGTTCAGCTCAGCCCAGGTATGGAAGATGACAGTTGGAAGGCAGCTCGTTCACTCTTCCATCTTGTTTCTTCCCAAGTGTCGTTGCTGTTTGCTGCCCAGGATTTTCAGATCTCGGAGTTTGCAGGGAGGCTGGTGCGCCGAGTTAGCCTGGTCCAGAGCCCAGAGGGAGCAGAGGGGTCCAGAGCTGTGTGAAATCCAGCTTTTAGAGAGGCAGCACCCTCTCCCCATTACTGCCACCAGTGCAGTTGCCATCACAGAATCCCAGAATGGTCAGGATTGGCAAGGACCTCTGCGGGTCACCCAGCCCAACCCCCTGCCCAAGCAGGGTCACCCAGAGCAGGCTGCACAGCACCGCGGCCAGGCGGGTCTGGAATATCTCCAGAGAAGGAGACTCCACAGCCTCCCTGGGCAGCCTGGGCCAGGGCTCCGGCACCCTCAGAGGGAAGAAGTTCTTCCTCATCTTCAGCTGGAGCTTCCTCTGCTTCAGTTTGTGCCCACTGCCCCTTGTCCT